TGAACTTCATCCTGATAAGCTTTTTTTCCCTCACATGTTCTACAGTGAGTGAAGTTCTTGATTTTCTTTATTTACTACTGTTTTTTTCTTTGATTCCCACCATATTACATTAAGAGAAAATTTAAAGTGAGTACCTTGGTTTGCTTCAAGAAGGAATCAACAATAATTCAGATCTCATCAACGTTTCTACATTAAAAAATTATCATAAGACAATTTTACCCATGTATTCTTAGGGTTATTAACTGTATGGTAAAATTAGCAGCATTAATTTCTCGTATTCATCATTAGCCCAACTAGCGGTTGGCATAATCTTCCAAGAATAACTCCAGTGCCTACATCTCATTAGAATTTAGAACAGATGGCATGTGTTAACTATTAAAACTGAGAATTAGAAAAAGTCCAGTAACTATGAAATTACATGATTGATTTTGGTAATAGTGAAGAAACAGGGTAAGTTGGACAAATGTCATAGTTTGCACTGATGTCACTGATTCACCATGAATCATTAGACAATGTGAATCAAGCTTACTAATGGAGTATGTGATTCCATCCCAAGAACTGATTGAGCAACCGATGATGTAGGGAGTTCAGAAAAAATTGTGTTGAGAGATATGCTTGCAATGTCTTGTTGATGTATGGCTTGACAAGGTTATTACTATTTCAATTGATCAATAGATGCAAAGTGGCCATTTCCCTTACTTTTATATCAATTATTATAGTACTGATATGTTATTAGAATTGAGGGAAAAATAGTAATTTTTACATGCATTTAGCCTCCATTTGTTGAAGGATTCAATGTCAGTGACCAAAAGTGTCATGAAACAATGAAATAGGGACCAAAGATGAAAAAAAGATTTATTTTCAGACCAAATCCGTAAAATGACTGCAACACATGAAAATGTTATTTACTCTCTATATATTTAAAAGAATTACTAAGAATAGCTATAGCCTATAGTGAAAGCCTAATCTTTTAAAATGGCAAAAATATTTAAATTCATCAATCTATTAAAATTACCTATTGTATTATATGAATATTCCACTGAATCCTGAAATTAATTGGTTTTTGGATGGTGACATTATAGGTAATGGTCAATTAGTTTATAAAATCAGCATAAAAAGATAAACATGGCAGTTTTATAGGAAAAAAGGTATTATATTGTCTCCATGTAACATAAAGAACACACTAGTAGTCTAGGATTGTGTGCATGTAAATAAAGATGTAAAGAATAGTTTCTCTTGATAATACTCACATCTATAACATTGCATACAACAACACCAAGAAGAACAACCATAATACTCAACTTTGTGCCACGCGAATATCAAATCTTGTCAAATGTAACTCAAATAAACATGATACTGGGATCATACTCAACTTTGTTGTCTGGGAATTTACAAATCAATCACAGAATTCAGAATTCATCCAATTTGAATGGAGTGTTATGTACATTATTACTATTTTACTACTATGTAGCTGGTAGAATCCAACTGAGTTCCACATCAGACTGACATTCATTCCAAAAATGGAGAAGTTGGGAAACAGGACAAACATCATAAGTTCTGAAGTGGGAAGATGTGAGGGTGGGATGTAGCCCAACCACCTAAGAACAAGGGTCATCATTGTGGTAGTTACAAAATGCAATCCAATCAATATTGTTGCAGAATACAAAGTATAAAGATGTAATTAGTTATAAAGGAATTTCAAGAATGAGGTAAAAGGAAGAATTTACCAAACGTAATGACAAAATTAGGTTAAAATTCATGAAAATTTAGATATGCTAGCGTGGATGTGTGTGTATGTGAGTAAGTAGAAGAAGAGCACATACAGTTTCAGAGTGTTGATGTCGGAGACAAAAATTGGTGAGGGGAGGAGTATAGGTTATGCACTGGAGAACAACGTTGAGGTAGTAGGTATTACCAAGATTCTTGAACCCTAATGGAGGACCGTTCTTTCGTTTCTTCAACAACAAACTCATTTTCCATGTCATTTTCAATTGGAAACCATCCATTAACAGTGAGGACCTCTCACACCTGATTTACTCGCCGCATTGAATGACAATCCCCACCGCTTGTACATCATCGGCGTGCGAGGCCTGGAGATTCGGTGTAGGTTAGAGGTAGTGGAGGTGGGTATTAGGCAGGTTTTTAGGGTTTTCTTTGATCGAAGAGGATTTTAAGAACTTCAAAAATATGAAAATATCGCTCTCCTACACACCAAATACTAATTCAGAAAAATCGCATATCAAAGTCAAAAATATGATTTCAGGAACTTCACAACTAAAAATCGCATATTAGGAACCTACACAATGCTTTTAGTGTTTCTTTTGATCGAAGAGAATTTCACAACATACAAAGAAGAAGGAGGAGCTTATCAGGTTGGGTTTTCAACTTTTTGGTATTTCATTCCCCCTTGAGAATTAAAAATTTGAATAACGTGCATTGATGAAAAAAATTATAAAACGACAGTGCTACACGACACACTTTTTTATAATAGGTGCCCTCTGTGTTTTTAAATTTTTTTGGTTGGACACTAATTTTACAGCACACATAAATGCGTGTCCTCTATGCTTCATATTTTGGAAAAATGACATCAATTTTTAGGGCACACACAAATGTGTGTCATCTATCAGCACGTGTCATTGATTACGCATCTTAAAAGGCTGTTTTTCTAGCAGTGATGAGTATCAGCAGTAACCTTTTTTGGATTAGGACTGACATACTTTTTTGGAGCTACTGAACTAAGAGGATTGGATGGCTATTTAAGAATCTTAACAAACACAAACGTTTTATGGTTCCTAGTGGTTGGGCTACTCTCAATGAATTTGGAATCATGCTTTGAACTAATTTCCTTTTTGAGGGAATTTTTTTCTTCGATCTTAAGGTATATGATATCTTTCCTATTTAACCAAGGTTCCTTCCAAGACTCAGGTGATGAATTTGAAGTTTGTTCACTTGATGGGTTGTCAAACATAGGCTTCATTGTCACTAGGTCTATTTTTGAAATCACTTGAGAATTAGAAACACAGGAGTCAGATGCAACTTGAACTCCAATATGGGTGATATTATGGAATGATTCTAAGGTCTGATTAAGGTCCAGGTGTATCAGAGGTGGAAGAGGCGTATAATCATGACATTTAATAACTATGGGTTGAAATTCAGGAATCAGAGATTGAAAACGGTCTGAGGTCTCAGGAAGGGGTGACAATTGTGAGACACTGGTATCTGAATGTTTTCACTTTGGAATGTCTTCCATAAAATTTAGATTTTGTAACTCCTTCAACAGACGAGCAATAGGTTTCCGAAACTCACTTCTAAGACTTGGTGCTTTGGACCATGGAAGATAAAAATTATGGGTCATTTAGTTCATTTGCTTTAAGAATATCTATTGCATGATGTAAAGCATCAATTTTGGTATTCAGACAGTTGTTATCAGATCTAAAATATTTCTTTCAGAATAAGTGATTTCACATTCTTCTTTTAAAATAATACATTCATCTTGAGACATTACTAGGCCTCGTTCTAGTGATTCGATACTAAACTTCTGATCTTTGAATCATAATCTAGGTCGAGTTAGTTCATTTTCCTGCTTCTCACTTACTTCTATGGCAGACTCAAAGGATTTATGGATGATGGTCATATCTGATTGGATTTGGGTTAGATATTGTTCATAAAGCGATAAATCAAAATTATTTTCAGTAATCATAGTTCCTACCTTCTTAACGATGTTTCTACCTGGTGGATCATTACATGCCATGTAGCAAAATTTTGGCCCAACATCTTCATCATCTCCTTCTGAACCTGATGACCAACAGCCTTCCTGACATTCGATCCTTTGTCTAGCCATAAACCACATATTTCTTCCAATACTGACATCACTCTTGTCTCTAGAAGACCAATACCCTTCAACATCTCTTAACATAGTAGTGACGAAAGCTTTCTCAATTGCAGCCATATCTTGAGCTCTGCGAGCATAATATGCAAAATCCTTGATCTTTCATTTCTGATTGGTTTCGGCAAAACAATCTTTGGAAAAATGATTACCATGACCACACTTGTGACAAACTATCTTGGGTTTGTCTGACTTGAAATTATCATGGGATTTCGAGGGATGACTTGATGACGTGATGTTGGGTTTCTAAGCAGGTAGGTTCTCTAAATGTTTAGGAAATGGTTTTTGGATTATTCTAGTGAGGGGATTAGAAACAATTCTGATATGGTTTGTAAGAGGGATTCCATGGACACTTTTATTTCATGGACAATAAAGCAAACTCTTGGTGAAAGTGAAGTTCAGATTCAACTGCATTAGAAGCAAAATTCTCTGGATGATTCGGAACAGGTAGAGTTGGTGGAGTGGGAAAGTTTAGTGGAACTAGCCTAATAGAAGGGATAGTTCTGAAGGGATCTGACACAAATAGGGTTGGAATAAGTGGGTTGACATTCCCCCAACCTTTTCTGAGGCTACTGATGAACTTGAGGTTGTACTCTAGAGGAGTTCTGGTTATTCCTTGTGCAATCATTTTATTTACAATGATTTGATACCTATTTTAAGCCAAGGAAACGGATTCACCTGGAGTAGTGGTGAAGGTATCAAAATCGTTGACAACCGAAGTCAAAAGTTTATCTTTCATGTTCTCAGACCCTTCAAATAGATCCTGAAGAGTGTCCTAAATCTCCTTTGCAGATTTGCACAACTTAATGTGCTCAAAGAGCGACAGAGGAACACCGAACACCATCTTGGAAAATGAAAGCTAATATGCATGTAGTTTCTCGATGTTTGTAGCAGTGAGAGGTGCTGGGCGTTGTTCTTCTTGGACCATGAGAGTCGCAGCTAGGGATGAGCAGCAGAAGCATGTATATGCTCTTGAAACCAGAACCGCCTCAAAACTGTCGGTTCTAGAAATTGAATTGCCTTAGGCGGTTCCGGTTCCAATTCCTAAAGTCTAGGAAATGCCTTAAGATGTTTCGGTTCCAATTCTCATTCTAATGAAACTGATACCCGTTGGATGACCGCCGATTTTGGTTCCTATACCGGGTACCCAGAGCAGGCGATAACCCGGAACCGGTACCGAAGGGTACCCACCTTTTTATAAAAAAAATATATTTAAATTTTATATTTTGGTGCATTTGTTTTAAAAAATTAGGGTAAAGAATATATACTGATTACTTAGTCCTGTTTTGTTTTTAGGGTTTATGATTTTCATTAAAAAACAAGCGCTGTCTTCTCTTCTGGTCACTCTCCTTTCTCCCCTCTCAAACCCATCCTTCAGTTAATCGAAGCTTCAATCGCTCCAGACTCCAGTCCTCGTTCTGTTCAATCCAAGCTTCAATCGAAGGTTCAGTCTGCACTTCAATCTCCAAGCTTCAATCGAAGCTTCAGTCGGCACTTCAATCTGTTTCAGGACTTGAAATTCACTCATCTCCCTCATCTCTCTGTCTCTCAGTCGACACTTTAAGGTGGACCACGTGGCTCCGATCATCCCTACTTACACTTTCCCTCATCTTCCTTGCCTCTCTTATCTTCAAGGTCAAATTCTCAAACATAACCCTAAAATAAGATTGTATCTGTTGACTGTGAAATTAGATATATCGATTATCGATTTCTTAAGTTGTCCATCCTCCATCTGTGAATCTCGATTAGATTATTAAACTGTTAGTTTCAATTTTTTTTGTTAACTTGTCGATTCTTTAGGTTGAATCTCGATTTCCATCTGTTAATTTTTTTGTATTTTTGTTAATTTCCATCTGTGAAATTTTTTATTCACTGCTAATCGCAAAGTAAATATGTTTGATGTCTTCAGGCTCTACCGAACAAACATACGATTGATTATTCACGTCTCCAATGCATGATGATGAAACTGGTTGGCAGGTGAATCGATCGAAGAGCAGGTGGAGGTACACTCTCAAGGATGGCATTATGCAGGTTCCTTAGAACACCAACAGACCAACAGACCAATAGGTTGCTTGGTGAGATACATACTGATATTTAGATACTAGTTAAATATATACTCATCTTTACTTGATTTTGGATTGATGACTATTTTTTCTTTAGTCATCCTGTGGGTTTCTGTCTTTGCGGGTTGCTTTGATTGGTGTTTTGTTGTCTTGCTATTGTGAAACTTAATGGAAAGTATTTGAACATAGAAACCTCAATGGTACTTTCTTTTATATTCTTGTTATTAGTCATTATAAAAATATATTATATTCCTGTTATCTGTCATTACAATTTGGCTTTGACAACTAATAATTGTAGGTTTAGGCAGCTTATTAAAAGTTAACTAGGCATATGCGTGTAACCAGAATGAAGATACATTAGGTTTGTTAATATGATGTTAATCTTTAAATTATTTGGTGTACATATTGGTTTGTTATATGTTTTCTAGTGGATAGATTCCAGTGTCTCACTAGTGATGGTACGTCAAATTGTCAATTAATTTTTGTATTAAATCTAACATTAGTTTGTCTTTTATCCAAGAAGTCATGTTAGAATATCCAATTTTAATATTTTTTGCTTTTCAAATGAACCTATCTAATGTTCCAATCTTTGAGAAATTGTAACCTCAACAAAATGATCTGTGAATCACATACTAAATCTAATGTTATCTCCGTTCAATTTGAATTGATTTAACTAACAAATAGTCAAGCATTTTTGAGGGTTTATATTGGTATTTGATTGATAAATCTTGAATGGATTACCATTTTCGTTAACTGCTGATGGTGTTCTTCTATATACCTTTACATGAATCTTACAATCGAATACTAAATCTTATGTTATATCCATGTAGTATACCGTTCTTGACTGATGAGATGACAAGATCAATGGATCCAATTCAAGGCTATGATGTTTTTGATGTGTTGTTTTTCCTATTGTTGTTTTATGTTTATTGTTCGTAATTTGTCAGTTTTATAATCTCTACATGTTAAATTTCAGTTGATGGCAATTGTTTTCTATGATGTTTTCTAATTGTGAGAAGTGTTTTTAAAGTTTAATAGATGGTTACGTAAAAAATCAAATTTTTATAATTGTTTTATTTTCATACCATTTCTAATTTGGATGTTAGTAAACATTAATATCCATGCCATGTAATCTATAATTTATAAATAAAATTTTTTATATTTAAGAAACCGGGTACCCGGAACCGGAACCGGTTCCAGCTGCTCTGAGAGCAGTTCCAATTTTCTACGAACCGGTGTACGCGGTTCCGGTTCCGATTCCAATAACTTAAGGACCACCAGTTCTGGGAGCGGTTCCAGTTCCAGCTAAAATAGGCGGGTACCCGGTTATGCTCGTCCCTAGTTGCAACGGCATCTCTGACCATTTGTCTAACCGGAACATGTGGAGCTTCTTTCACAGATCTCAATATTTCTTCATATTTTTCCTTACCAAGTAAAAATCTTTCTATTCTAACTTTCCAATGATCATAGTCTTCAACAACTAACAATGGGGCACAAGAAGGGCAACCCACACTATTTGCTATTTTCATAAAATACATTTTTTGAGATGGATTAGGAGTAGCTATTGAAGTTGAGATATTAGAGCAGAAGTGGTGTATAGAATAACTTTTATCCTAAACAAAGAAATGATTGAGATATCAAGGTAATCTCAGATCAACTCTAATCTATTCTTATCGATTTAAAGGACAACCACTCAAGCTCTCTCTCTGATACCAATTGTCAGAAAAAGAATCAATGTGCAAGGACAAGGTTTGAAAACTGAAACCTTGAGTTAATCTTTAAGAGAAATGTCTTCTTTTAATATGAAGTTGTAGTCAAATTTGGTAAACTAGTTAGGACTTGAAGATAAATAATCAACAAAGTATTCAAGTAATAAATGAAGTAAACTTGAGTATAATCAATTCAAAGAGACGAGGGAGACGAGTGAATTTCAAGTCATGATACCAAAAGATATCATATGAAGAAAACATAGTGTGATGCACTGCGATCGCCGACTCCTTTCCTTTGAAAACGAAGTACTTGAAACCAAAACTGAAAACCGTATGCACGAAGCTTAGTGAGTTCCCCAAATACCACATACCATACATATCAACATGTTGCTTAGCATATCTGGGTGCTAGCCTACCCCTTCAGTTTCTTTCAACTGGATACTACCATACATAACTGTGATCCATACAAATCAATCATATATCATAATCAAATAAAATGCTATGTGCAAAAACATAGTCTTGCCATTATTCCACGGGCCGCCACATGGGCTTTCTTGCCAAGACGAGGGCCACCCCCTTCAGTCTTACAAACAAGTGCCAATAGCCACCTATGGTCTTCCATGCAAGCATCACAAAGACAACTATCATATATACTATTATACTTAGCTAATCAGCATACAATGTGCTAGGAGCCACCTCCTGGTCTTTCATACATATTGCCTAGGGCTAACTCTCGGATCTTCCTACCATATACAATAGCATAGAGTGTGCCAGGAGTCGCCTCATGGTCTTTCATACATAATGCCTAGGTTTAACCCCCGTGTCTTCCTGCCATACATAAACTAAATGGGCCGACATTGGTGCCTTAGACCCATACAAACAGTGAGGACAGTCATTCGCACTGCTGAAGTCCCAAAAATAAATCACTGGCTGCTGGCTAATAGATCCCAGAATTGTCAACATCAAAACAAAACCTAATTAACATTCGGGTTTCAATGCATAACCATAAGTCCATACTTGGGGTGAAAACACCATTCCACCCCTAACCTAGCTTCATCCAAGATCAAGGCCCAAACTCACACTATGAAGGCCTAAAAGCCAAACACTTAACCAAGGTCCATTTATAGGCTAGTTTTCCAAGTCGGGCCCAAGCCCCTAACATGGGCCTTACCCTAAAGCCCATTGAAAATCCTAGTCCATACACTTAGCATTTCGATGGTCTAATATCTCATAATCATTAAGGCCCTGGCCCACCAAAATTAGGCCCAATCCTTACCAATGGGCCTTATCCTAAAGCCCAATAATTTCCTTCATCCATAAACTTGTTCTTGGATGGCCCATCAATAGCCCATCAGAAGGCCATCAGAAGGCCAAACTTGAAGTTCAAACATACTTAGGGTTTCTTACATAAATTGACGATTATGGTTAAGTGTTCTTGCTTAACCCATTAGGGACCTAATCCATTAAGTCCATTACTCCACTAGGCCACACATACAATGTAAATGGGCATAAGTCATACTTCAACCCACTGGTCCAAACGCGGGTCTCGACAATCCAAAATAACATCTTCCAAAATTAGGGTTATCTAAACCCTAATTAGGGTTTCTAACTCAAACACGATTCAATTAGGTCCAAGATTAATCTTTTAGGTTAATTAGTGTTTCATCAGGTCAATTAGGATTCCATTAGGCCAGACACCAACCATTGCCACTTCGAGTGGTGGTGGTCGGTGACGGCTCACGACGACAGCCACCACCTCGTGGTGGTGGCGGTAGGATTTTTCTTCCGATTTCCGGCCACGAAATGCTCCTACAACCCCCTTACCATTAAAACACATGCACATAAACACCATGACACGCACACAACAACCTCTCATGGTGGCTGGTGGTGGCAGAAAGAAGCATCGGGTTCAATTAGGGTTAATGTACTTTGAAGCAGGAAGGGAAGAAGCATCGGGTTCAACTTGTGCATTCATCCAAACTTATGCCCCTTTTATCCAATTATGGTCCCTCCCCATAAAACCTTTTCCAAAACAACTCCAATATTTACCAACTAACCCCTATCTTTAATAATTCCTTACAATTGAAGTCCCAATAATTACCATGCAGCCTCTATCTTCATAAATATTTACAAACTGAATCCAAATTTTACTTTTTAGCCCCAGCCTCTAAAAACCCTTCCACACAAGTCCAATATTTTACTAAAAACCCTGTGACTTCTAAAAATATTTACAAAATACTCCAGAATTACATTTTAGCCCCCGAAAATATGAATTATATTATTTGGCTCTTCAAAGCCAACACCCCGCTAAATATTATGGACTTTATGACTACTTTTAATTTATTAATCTTTATATATTTATTTATTTAATAAACTGGATGTTACAACTCTCCCCCACTTAAATTAGATTTCATCGCCGAAATCATTCCTTACCATCCCACACACGCCCGACAACTTGAAAAACATGGTCACAATCCCGAGCATAACCCCAACCTACCCAAGGAAATTAAAGCCAACCCTTATAGGGTTCTAAAACCTGAAGATGAACGAATTCCTTTCAACATGATCGTCTTTATCCAATATGAAATATGGAGTTTCAAGATGGTGTGACTCCCTAAAGCATCTGAAGGAATTCGTGAGGGGATTCCAGTCCACATGTCTCTCAACTAACTATTCAACTTTTGATAACTGGAGTTTCCCACTGGAAAACAGAATCACAGACCTAATTATCCATGCACATCACTTATACATGGACAAGGCTTAGATTATCCTTCGAGTAGAAGATCCATCCCTGCAACGGTTAGACTCAGACGGGAGCTACACAACAAGTTCAAATCAATTACTCTGAGATTATATAATCTAACTACAAGTGACTTAGCGTCTTCCTGTCTAGAAGCTACTCTACACCAAGTCCCAAATCACTGCTAATATCCGAAATACCAGATTCCTACCTGGTTGCTGAGCCAAAGAGCAATCTCACAGTCGCTTCTCACGACTTCCGAAGAGAATTTCGGCAATCGAAATCTACCCTAACAATATTGCCACTCATAGGTCCATTATTCCTTCGGATCTTCCCGATCATGAAAAATGGATGCTATGTGAACCACTATAGTCTTACATCACGTTTGGTCTCCAATGACCTACCGTTTACGAAATCCGATCATATTATGGCCTACTCACATTCATGTTGTTGACCTACCCTGGCCTAAATCATCTGAAGGAAGCCGTGAGTGGATCACAAATCTGTCACATTCTCACTGTGGAATAGGGACTGGTGAATGCTACGGGCCACCTCACAGTCTTACAACACTCCCATAATAACTAACAACTAGTGATTTCTTTGAGCGACCCCCGCAGTCTTGCTATACCACTATACTAACGGCTAGCTAATGAATGCTACAGCCACCCCCTATAATCTTTTAACTTTTCAACTCTATCTGCTAACTGATGAATGCTACAGGCCAACACGCAGTCTTACAACACTTCTACACTACCTCCTGACAAATAAATGCTATGTGCCACCCCACAGTCTTTAAATATTTCACATGCTATCTAGCCATTGGTGAATGCTACGGCTATCTCGCAGTCTTACAACGCTTTCCATACTATCTGGCTGCTAGTGAATGCTACGACTATCCCGCAATCAGACACCACTTCCCATGATGTCTCATCCGCTGACCAGGGCCTTACCGCTGAACTCCATTCCGGGCATAACCAATGTCAAGCATTCACACAGTCAACATCCCATACTAAACTCATGTCCTAACTGGAATCTGTTGGATTGGATGTCTAAGCCCATAACTATAATTGGTATGTACTTGACCCGAGAGTAGCATGGTCCATTTGGGTTGCATATCAACACGACAATTAGATAGGATAGACTTTTGAGAAGAGGTTATTTATGATTTTTTAATATATTATAAGTTCTAATATATTAATATGAAATTATATTATTTAATTCGTATTGATCAAAAATTAATTTTAGTGATCAAAAGAGACTAATTAAATGTAAGGGGGTCGATTTGGTAAATCAATCATTCTTTTGGTGTGGGCTTATGGTTATTTAGGATGGGCTAAACCAATATGGTATCCCATAGATAGTCAATGGAGGTTTTAACCCATGGATCCTATGTAAGACGAAAAGTCATTCACATTAGGGTTTACATGGATATAACCCGAATCCTAGCCACACTATATAAGAAGATCCTAGGTTACTAAAATCGGCACCTAGTCATCTTTGGAAGACTATAACAGGTTTTTAGTATGTATAAACTCTCTCCAAAGTCATCATTTGTCTAAGGTGTGTTGTGAACCATTTGAGGTGTCACTCTTGGGGCATTAAGTTCTTAAAGGCCAAATACAACATGTTCTAGAAGCTACATAAAGATGTAA